GGGGGCATGGGGGATGGGGTTTTTAGTGGTGGGGGGAATTCAGGAAGCAACCTCAACCCCCTAGGTAAATTTGATACTCTTCACCAGGTGACACTTACATTTGAAACCAAGAAGGCCACCCATTACAGTAAGCGCTCATGTCAACAACCTAACGAAAAACAGACGACTACCAACAGTCTATACAGACACTATATGTACATTTCAGACTTGGGAGAGTTAAATATCCTCTCCCCCACCCCCCTCCCCTTGTGCTTCACACCACTATATGTGCTTCAAATTCCTTTTCAGATTTCTTTATCATCCTCTCCTCCCTCCCAGAATCTGGCATACATAAATTCTCGTCTGTGTGACTTACCATAGAGGATAACACCAACAGACCACAGGTCAACACTGGCATCATATTTCATGGAGCAGATCATCTCAGGCGCCTGAATATTTAGACATGTTTAACAAAGTCATGGTCATGGTTTTGCTGTTTTCCAATACATAAACTGCCAGGCTCTTAAGACATCATAAGTGTTAGCTTGTCGACCAACATACCTACAGGACTGAACTTAGCACTACAAGTTGTTTAGCTGCATATCAAAGTGGTTTTGGAACAAAGTCTTTTCGCATCAATTTTGACAATTTGCAAAAAAGCTTTGTTGTCGTAGTTGTTGTTGTTGTTGTTTTATTTTAGCCATGACAAGAAGAGATGTTTACTTGCTGGCTTCACATTGGAGAAGCTTTGCATTAATGAACATAACTACCATGTAGGTCTATGAATCGTGAAGCACTGAAGAAACTTTAAGAAGGCAAGAATTACACTGTGAGGACAAATCAAGGAATAAAGGAAAAAGGTGGCAAGACTGAATTGGATTAACGCCTTACGGATTAACTTGTGAGCCATGTACAAATGTTAACATAACCTGCAGTTTGTAAGATTAAATCTGCACCAAAGAACCAATCATATGAAAATCGTCATCAAAAAAAGATAAATACTGTCGAGCAAAATGACGTAAGAAGAAAAGATAATAACTGGGAAAAATAGATTAACATGGTACGAACAGGCTAACTAACAAAAAAATGTTAACAAGATTAGATTCAAACAAAGTAACGAGCAAAGAAACATTAATAATACATGTACAAGACCTTATCAATAACCAGTCCATCATAATTATTATATCCAATTTTTAATGGATTCGTACCCAAACATGCTAAACAATAGCTTTCTATGCGACATGTATATACCTGACTTCTCAAAACAAATCTTTCAACGCACGAAAACTAACGCAAAAGTAATGCATTCTGTTGTTATACGCAAATAAAAAAAAATGGGTACAAATCGACTTAAAACTGGAAGCGAATCGACTGCATACAAACAATTTGGGTCAAAACCACCATAAAAACTGAATTGAATCCTTACCATGTACAGAGGAGATCCCCTCATCGTATGCGTCTCTTCTTCACTATGTAAGTACTTGGCAAAACCAAAATCTGTCCAAAAAATACCAGCCTTACTAAGCCACAAAGTCTATTACAGCAAAAGTATATTTACTGCCGAGCAAAAAACAGTTTTCTTTTTTTATATACCTCCCCAAAGTCATGAAATTTTACAGACTTTTGTAAGGAGGCCGGCTGAGTGGGTGCTCCCCACAATAGAAACGTCTGTAAAATTTTTCTTGCTTCTTTTACAAAAAATCACTATCAAACTTGGCAATTTGTCGCAGGATTTTTGCTATTTACTGGTCTATGTCGAAAGTTGAGAAAAACTGTGGAAGGATCTGTGAGCTAAGTATGAGAAGAAATTTCCCGTTGTAAAATTGGTATTATAGAGATACAATGTAACACTCATGCATTATTTAACTTTTACATGGACAGTTTTATCCCTCTAAGGACAGGAATAATATTATTATTTTGAGAATCTGAGCAAATTAATTCAGGACTACTAGACTGCTAATAAAAAAGGGCAAAGAATGAAATTAGATCGATACGTATCAGGGGCGTAGCGTGGGATTTTGAAGATGTACGCACGAGAATAAATTTTTTGTAAGCGGCGAAGGCACTTACATCTAGGGGGGTCTGGGGGCATGCTCCCCCAGAAAATTTTGAAATTTAGGGTCTCGGAAATGCCATCTCCTGGTGTTTCTGCGGGGCATTTTCAATAAATAATGCGGCAAAAATGCAGTAGAAAGTTGTCCAAAAACAATGAAGACAGGTCACAAGCAAAGGGCGAGGCGTCGACCCTTAAAACGGGCAAACCATATGTGTGTACTTTGTCTCACGAAACACACGAAAACACTACAGAAGCCAGTGATCACGCTCCTCAAGACGCAGAAATATTCATAGGATTCTCTAAAAGTTTCTTCGGAAAATCAATCACGGGGGCTTCACTGTTTGGCCTCACAAGTATATTCCTAATATCCGTTGACGGCAAATACGTTTTGTTCTGAAGCCACACGTCATGGCATAGTAACCTCTCCTTCAAGAATACCTGCGGGGCTGGGAAAACTGGTGAGGCTGGCTGACCTTGAGGGAGGGGTACATGAGGCGTTTTTCCTATTTTTGCTTACCACTCAAATGCATTTTGCCATTATTAGTGGCCAGCACTGAATGATTGATGCTTGGATAATGGGAATTCTAATAAAAAAGCCAGTATAATGTGAAAATATGAAATTATTAGCCAGCAAATTTAATGAGAAAAAATGTTTTTCTCAGATCCCAGCTGTACGCACGGGTGTACGTGCGTATATGGACACTACGCCCCTGCGTATCATATAATGGACAAATTACAAATCTAACCCCAAAAAGGCATAGGCTTTGATAGAAAATGGTTGATCAGTGTTAAAATTCATACCTGCCAATTTCAGTACTGGATTTTCTCTTGCTGATAGAAGCAGATTTTGCGGTTTCAGATCCATATGAGCAATATTATTTGCACGTAAAAACTGAAGAGCAAGGGCTGAAAAGAAGACAAGCATTTTTCTAAAAGCTTTATGGATCAGGATATGGAGGGAGGGTCCTCAAACCACATTGCTGCATTTCTCATCTGTTGATTACTTGGTAGTTTGACCAGGTCACTCCATAGTTTATTTACTTTGATATGAGGGTTTATGATCATCTCACCACCAATAAAATCGACACCAAGAAGTCGACTCACCTAAGATTATTTACCTAGGATTTTTACTTTTTTGTCAAGCTTTTTCGAATTTAAAGTCAACCCAAATACAAGTCTGTCGATCCTTATTGATGATCCTTGCATCAAATGTGTTATGCTCTTGGTAATGCAAATAGTAAGGATACACGTATAGGTTTGGAGAATGTAAACTTTGGCATTTGGGAGATTAAAAAATGGCAGAAAAGTTTCACAGCCATCAAAGTTCAAAACAATGGTTAGTGGAAAGATGGTTTGATGGGGAGGTGGCCAGATACCAATATGAGACACCGCTGAACGCTCACATAATTATTTGGTTCAGCTCCCTTTAGCTGTTGGAACATACTTGTTGAGTGGTGATGATTTCCTGAACTCCAAACAGACACGCAAAAAAACCCTGTATCTTGTGCCCAGATTTTGGTGAATCTCGCTCCTTGGGTAGCAGTCAAATAACTTTGATGGGTAACAATAATTGCACTACAAAGTAGCTCTTACCCTCTAACCTCATAGATTTGCAATGTTGTTCACTTAGACAATTTTGGTGGGAAAATCCTTTTTGTTATATGCCATATGAATTTGTAGTAGCCAGGGAGTATGTGCGTTGTTGGGGGAAACGGTTATATTCCAGCTATATAACATTACACCAATGTTGAATGAAGGCACATTCAGATTGCCTAACCTAATTGTCGTAAGAATCGTCTAGCGATTGCCTCTGGTAAGCCTCTTCTACTGTGAATAAACCTTGACAAGTCTCCTCCACTACAGTATTCCATGATGAGGAAAATATATTCATCATTCCACTAAGGGAACAAAAAAGACACAAGAAGACCTGTAACAACAAACTGTTTATAAAAAAGTAATACATACACCTGGGAAAGGAGGTAAATGGGTTAAAGCTAATAGTAAGAGCAGAAGTTATGTAAATAATAGGGAGCTTAATCAACAACAATGGCGAAGGTTATGGAAATGCCATTATATGTGAATTTGTGCTGCTTCAAACTTTACTGTGTTCACTCAATTTTTTCAATTTTTTTTTTTTTTCAACTGTTAGCAAATTTTTCTGGAATTGAATTCTATAAGACTGTATTGAAGTTCAGGGAAAGAAAAATAAAGCTGTTTTCTTGTGTTATGCCGAAAATGTGAAATTAGGCATTTGCACGTCATAGTCATGCAGAATATGTACAAAAAAGCATGACGCTTGTGCAAAGAACTTATTATTTTGCTAAAATCCTGCTGCTTTTTTTGCCGCTCTTGTTGCCGTCACCGTCATCACAGCTTAAGCTCCCTAATATTTCAAATGTACATGTACCAACCATTTTAATATCATATGTATAGAGAAAAAGATTGGAACAACATTCATGCATAAAATTGTCGATCGTTACTGTAAATATTAAAAAAAATGAACCACACTGTAACAGAACTTTATGAAAACCCAGACACATGTACAGGGTAGTGTCTACTTTTTTATAACACTGTCATGTAAACACTTGCAACAGACAAGACTGATCAAGGAGCTTAAATATAATGACTGATTCTTTTGTGTTCCATACACATCTTTTTTTAATTGTGCTGGCAATGTGTGATGAGCATTTTTTGCTCCTATTATGTTCATTTGCTGATGCAAACTGCCCCCAATTAAGAGCCAACCAAATTTTGAGACAGAACATTCCATCCATCCATAACTTATAAACCTGAGTATAAACCTGATCTCTTTGAAAACTGTAAGCTCTGGAATTATGATCTCTTCTTAATTAATAGGAAAAAATAATGTATTTTTAAGAAACAAACAACATTTACATGTACAGTTTTTGTAACAGCTGCTACTTTACTTACTTCAAAGTCTTTAAGCTTGACTATATGCTCGTGATCTAATTTTTTCAGTAATTCAATCTCAGTGAGTAAATTTTCTGTTGCTGACTTGCTTAATGAACGTTTTTGAATACATTTAATTGCAGCCACATCTCTCATATTACCCTGAAAGAAGAAAAGGAATTAGAATTCATCTGACCAGTCAATCTGCATAACCAGCATACAATAATAATATTTTGAAAGGTTTGAACCCAGGAGTCATTTCAAAAGTAGGTTGAGTTTGATCGTCCGGGTGAACGTAATCCTGAATAGGACTGTTGTTGTTGACAGTGACTGTCGTTTCGACAACCTGTGTGGTAGTCATCTTCAGAGTCAAAGTGAGTTGTATCACGTCAGTTGATGGTATTATACTCTGGTTATTGATCTGATTGGTCAATTACGTCGTGATGTTTATTGGTCGTCTGTCAGTTAAGCCGTGATGTTATTGGCTATGAAGACTCGTAATCAGTAATTGGTGCGTTTCAATCCGTCTATTGTCACAGTTAAACAGTCATCTATTGTTAGTCAAATTGTCATTCTCTCGTAGTTAGTTTTGCTTGATCTCGTCAATAAGTCGTTTGTATGGCGCTGGTAACTGTTGGCTACGATTCAGTGGCGTTTGTTCTAAGTTAGGGAACGCGTCCAAATATCGGCATCGGGTCACACCGATGCCGATCAATTGGGCACCGATTTTTTCCGATTCCGTTGAAGGTCGGACCCGATTTTATTGGCACCGAATGAAACGGAATCGGCAACGGGTCTCAAGTCTTTATCGGGCCAATTAACAAAGGTCATCAAAAATATCTGGCAGCTCAAATAACCCGTCACAAAAGCAAAAGCAAAAGCAAAAGCGTGAATGTTGTTTTTTATAACCTTATCTTTCTTATAAATGTGTCTTGTTTGAACCGAAATTTAACGTCACAGTTTCGAACATTTGTTTGTATTTCCTATGACAGAGTATGACCAGAAAATATTAAATTTGTGTATCAAAATGGGCACGAGAAGAAACTGCAGGTCATTCAACAACGCTGAAGAGCATCTTTTGAGTGAAAGACGGCGCAATGTACATTGCAAGTGTACGATCTCAAAATGATAATTTTAAAATAGCTTGAGACTGTGCTAACCGGAACCCAAAACGCATGATTATAGGAATCTTTGGAGGAATAAACAGTTTAGGGCTGTAAACGAAAAAAATAGAAGTCAGAACATCCACGACCAAAATGCAAATGTTGTTACCATGTTGTGTACTTTAACTGCTAAACTGCCAAAGGAGAGAAGAGGACATCGTCTGAGAAGCAGGCTGCAACTTGTTTATTGGTTACATATGAACTCAAAAAAGTGACTGATGGAGGCGTTCAAATGGTTTTCTCTTTCTCGATTCTCTTTCCGCTATTAAATTGAGTCGAACTTACCGGATGTATGCACAGTTTGCTTTAGTTGAACACTCCGGTAAAAAAGGTTCTGATTTTTGTCAAAAAGTCAGCCACCTAGAGTCAAGTGCAAATTTTTCTAAGTGCTGAGAGTGGAAAGCAATTTCACGTGGCACCATGCTCAAGCTCACAGAACATACAGCAAAGTCGCTAAGCCATTCTCTCTTTGGTAGCTCCTGTATGAAACTTCGTTCCGTGTCTTCCGTGACTCGCGAGTGTGGGAATCTTTCAGTTCTTGTTGCTAATTCCCTGGAGACAATCTAAGGCCGCAATCTAATTGGTCAGTATTTTTTGCCTCAGATCGCATTACACCTTGCGTTTAGGATCGTTGAATGAAAGACGCAAATTTTCGTAAAAGTTTATCCCGTGGTTTTATATTATCCATGGTTTTGCTCTCGCTCCGCTCGCTAGGAAACCCGTTGAGGTCTACTTGTAACAAGTCTATGAATCCAGTTGCGTTTCGGAAAAGTGAGTTCCGGTTGTGTTTTTGGATTGCATTGTTAGAAAGTATCGAGTAAAGAACACACTACTCAGTAAGGTGTTTTGTTTGCTATATATCAACGAAGAACAGTGGTTTTTTGCTTCGTAATATTTAACTCCTTTTAATTTTCATAGAATAAATGTTATGGAGCAGCGTGGTGTTTGCGATCGACTGAAGGAAATACGTCTGCAAAACGCCGAAAATCACGTGTATAGGCAAGCATCAAATCAACAAACTCGAAACACAACATGCAGGAACATACAATATTGCTATTTGTTATGGAGTAGGAAAAAGGTACAGTCGATTGAAATTATTTTGGAGTGAAACGACTCTTTCATTATTTGGTTCGTGACACGCTTCATTTTACATATTAGATAAAATAATATGACGATGACACATATGAACATCGGAATGTCAACCGGCTCCGATTGAATCGGCAAAGCTTTTATCGTAATCGGAAACGGCAACTGGTGCATATAGATCGGTACTGATTCCGATCAATCGGAAAATTAATGGGGTCCGTTTCCCATGATCGGGTTCCCTACCGATATTTGGACACGTTCCCTTAGTAAACCAGCTTTCTAAAGTGATACAACTCACTTTGACTCTGAAGCTGTCACTGTCAACAACAACAGTCCTATTCAGGACTACGTTCACCCGGACAACCAAACTCAACCTACTTTTGAAATAATAATATTATTTGCCGCCCGCTTCAAGGGAGCAGTCATCTGTACTCATAATGAGCTTCAAGACCATACTAACTTGTTTCAGACCTTTTTGGTCTTCAAAGGTCTCTTTAGAAAGATCAGAACAAATGAAGTCATTTTTTATCAGCTCTTTCACATTTTGTTGCTATTTTTGTGAATAACAAGATTATGTAAAGCCATGTGCAAACAGACGCAACATTGTTGGTCAACATCTCCCAACGTTGTTAAATGTTACATGTTGTATCCATTTGCACACCCTTGCAACCTTGTTGTTGGATGTTATTGCGTGTTGTTGACAGTTGTTGAACAAAGTTTGAAACTAGTCAAACATTTAGCCACATGCAAATACACACACAACAACTCCCAACAATGTTGGGCCAACAATCTACCTGTAAACAAAAAAAATACATCCAATAATTTAAAGCCCCCGGCATAAGCCCACCTTCAAATGTATTGAAATGAATTTCATTTAAAATGACGTTTTGAAGCACTGTTTTGTTCACAGTTCACAAGTAAAAATCATCAGTTGTTTATATTTATTTTACTGACAGTTTATGTAACAAACCGGTCGATTTCCACTGTTTTTGGCTTCCAACCATGTTACAAGGCGACCAAGCTGGTAGGCAAAACAATGCATATATTTTCCGCAGCATTTGCATTCAAAAAGAATTATTCTAGTTCCCATCGGAGAGTAAGCTTTGTTCCTTTCAACCAACATGGCCGCCGTGACGTCAGCTTCAAAATAACTTGCACGCGTCTTAACTTTAAATTTTCAGAAACGTTACCTTCTTGAATGCCTTGTACACAGTTGCGTACGTTCCTTGGCCCAGCTTTTCGGTCACTACATAGTGCTCTAGCCTTGGAGGCGGAACTACTCGGACAGAACCGACCGGAGCCGCCATCTTGCTTGTTTACGATGGAGCCCGCGCTCAATACCGCTTGACAAATCGTAGGTGTCAAAAATAGAACTGGTTGAAACCCGGGTTTAAATTGCGGAAAAAGCAAGGCCAGCAAACTTTACATCTAGTAGATTCATGACTTTTTGAACAATTTGCCTAAAGTTGAACTTCTTCAGTGAAAACAGGGGAATCGGGATCGAAATGGTCGTCGTAAAAGATTCAATAGTGGAAACATGGCGCAAGATTATACAAAACACTCCTGGGAGGAAAGACAAATCATGGGTCGTGTTTCGCCACGGCACTTGTGTGATTCTTATGAACGGTGCTGCTAGCAAGGAAGATGCAACAACGAAAGCTACTCAGATCATCGCAGAATATGGCCCAGTTCATGCCGGAACTCCCGCTGGAGATTTTAACGTCACCCAAAACCCAGCAGTGGAAGGAATCATCGTAACGTGCTGGCACGATGATGTTTTGAATTTTGTTGGCAAGGATGAAGATGGAGGTAATCCCTTTGTAAATGCTTTGGTCGGGAGAAGCAAACGAGATCAAGATGGAAGAAGTCCTCAAGTCTTGCACGTGGAATATAATGGTTGAACCTAGCTAGGTTGTAAACACCTGTACAAGTCGATTAATTAGTACACGTTAAAATTGATGAAGAATTTTAATGTTTCGAAAAGGATTTCTATCTAATTCCCATAAATATATTCCTTGAACATTTCGCACTGACTGCTCCGTTTTCTTTATTTTATTTTATTTTTTTTNTGTTTTGTTCACAGTTCACAAGTAAAAATCATCAGTTGTTTATATTTATTTTACTGACAGTTTATGTAACAAACCGGTCGATTTCCACTGTTTTTGGCTTCCAACCATGTTACAAGGCGACCAAGCTGGTAGGCAAAACAATGCATATATTTTCCGCAGCATTTGCATTCAAAAAGAATTATTCTAGTTCCCATCGGAGAGTAAGCTTTGTTCCTTTCAACCAACATGGCCGCCGTGACGTCAGCTTCAAAATAACTTGCACGCGTCTTAACTTTAAATTTTCAGAAACGTTACCTTCTTGAATGCCTTGTACACAGTTGCGTACGTTCCTTGGCCCAGCTTTTCGGTCACTACATAGTGCTCTAGCCTTGGAGGCGGAACTACTCGGACAGAACCGACCGGAGCCGCCATCTTGCTTGTTTACGATGGAGCCCGCGCTCAATACCGCTTGACAAATCGTAGGTGTCAAAAATAGAACTGGTTGAAACCCGGGTTTAAATTGCGGAAAAAGCAAGGCCAGCAAACTTTACATCTAGTAGATTCATGACTTTTTGAACAATTTGCCTAAAGTTGAACTTCTTCAGTGAAAACAGGGGAATCGGGATCGAAATGGTCGTCGTAAAAGATTCAATAGTGGAAACATGGCGCAAGATTATACAAAACACTCCTGGGAGGAAAGACAAATCATGGGTCGTGTTTCGCCACGGCACTTGTGTGATTCTTATGAACGGTGCTGCTAGCAAGGAAGATGCAACAACGAAAGCTACTCAGATCATCGCAGAATATGGCCCAGTTCATGCCGGAACTCCCGCTGGAGATTTTAACGTCACCCAAAACCCAGCAGTGGAAGGAATCATCGTAACGTGCTGGCACGATGATGTTTTGAATTTTGTTGGCAAGGATGAAGATGGAGGTAATCCCTTTGTAAATGCTTTGGTCGGGAGAAGCAAACGAGATCAAGATGGAAGAAGTCCTCAAGTCTTGCACGTGGAATATAATGGTTGAACCTAGCTAGGTTGTAAACACCTGTACAAGTCGATTAATTAGTACACGTTAAAATTGATGAAGAATTTTAATGTTTCGAAAAGGATTTCTATCTAATTCCCATAAATATATTCCTTGAACATTTCGCACTGACTGCTCCGTTTTCTTTATTTTATTTTATTTTTTTTTAAATTACTTTGCTTTGGCCAAATGGAAACCAGACTTTGAAATAAAAACTGCATTAAATGGAACACGTTTATCTTTTAGTTTGAGAAGAAGAAATACCAAAGCGCTTACCACCAAAGAAATAACAAAAACTATATTGTATTTTTTTTTCAGTTTTTAGTTATTTTTCTTGAACTTTTTCTACTTCCGCCCGTCCCCAGTCCTACCCAGTTGAAACGAGGACCGTACCATCATGCTTTACGGGTTGTGAGTTCAAGATGGCGGCGTGGATGTCGAATTTTTTGACCGCAATACTATGCCTTTTTCTATGGATAGAGAACGTGCATGGTTTTGCGATTAAGTCAGGAAATTCCTCTGTCTAGCCTTTTACTTGAATTTGGTCGATTGATGGTTAGCTAGTGACATTGCGGCCTGAATTCACAGATATCATGGCAGAACCAAATTTCAAAGGTCTTTTACAAATGCATTGTCAAAAAGCTAAGGTTGAACTCCCCAAGTATAGTTGCACACAAAAAATGCAAGGACATATTCCAGTTTTCTCGGCTAATTTGGTCGTTTTGGGGCAAAATTTTACTAGCGAAGGCGAGTTCAGCACCAAAAAGCAGGCTGAAAAAAGTGCGGCTAAGGTTGCTTTGCGCGAATTGAGAATTCTTGGGGGAGATTTTCAGCTGAAATCCTGCACTGCACTCTCTCAGACTGTGAATGAAGGATTTCCCAGTTGCAAGGTAGACCAGTCTTGCACAGACATAAACTCTGGGTCAACAACAGCAGTGGAAGAAATTCACAAAGATATGCAAGTTTCTACTTCGCCTGAAAAGTGTGAAAAAGCTTCCATTCCAGAAACACAAATGTCTTCTCCAGAGATCCAGAAAACATTATTCACTTCCAACCCTACTGTGACTCCTGTTTCAAGAAAAGGTAATGGTGTTGTTTCATTCAAGAATGTTCTTCAAGAAAGGGCCCAAAAGACAGGATTAGCTTTACCTCAGTATGAGACGGTGCAAGAAGGTGGAGGTTTTGTATGCACAGTCACCTTTAATGGACAGTGTTTTAAGAGTGAAGGATGTTCACCTAGCAAAAAGCTGGCTCAACAGAATGCAGCTGCTGTAGCCTTTAAGACTTTAACCTCCGGGGAAAAAACGGATGAAAATTCCCCACTCCCTTCAAGAACATCAGCATCAAACATAGAGACCCCTCAAGCAACAAGTATGCAGTCTCCAGCAACAACTCCAGAAATGTTTGATGCCACAGTTTCCTATAAGAACCTCCTCCAGGAAAATTGTCAGCAAAGAGGAAATAAGCCCCCCACATACTCCACAACCTGGGAAGGTATATGGCATGTACAGGCTTTTTGTTTCTACCAAACTCTTTCTTTTTTCTTCCTGAACTAAAACCGTAAGTAGAGTCTTGGGAATTTTGAGCTACATTTATAGCACAAAGCAACCACATATTTTAGTCAGTAAATATATGAGCCATAAGCCTTTAAGTCATTGCTTGCAATCAAAGCCTAGGTGCATTAATTGAGGCTATAACTTTGTAGATACTTGATGTAATGTTAAATAATAATCATCATCTTTTGCTAACAAGGAAATACACTTATATGACTATTTGAAAGAAGAGTGAAGACACTCCTTAATCAGAAGTCACTTTGCAGGCTGGGCTTTTTTTCCATTCACTAACCCCGGCGGGGGGAGGGTACTTGGGATAATTTTAGCTGGGTATGTACTGCTGGTCTCTCATCAGAGCCCCTTCCCCATTATAGTCTATTCTGTGGTCAAACATAGGCCCCACCTTAGTCACTTTTGGGCAAAAACGTCATTTTCACGATCCCAACTTATTCACTTTCTAATATGTATCTACCTTATATTGAATAAAGAACACTGTACTTTTCACCTAAACTACAAACATTCTGGTATGACTGTTTGCTAACCATAAATATGAAGAACAGTCTCACCCCAAAACTCAGAAAATGGTGACCCCTTTATACATACATACATACATACTTTATTGGCTCGTCCCCACGGGGCTTTTCAGAGTCAATTTTACATTACAAAATTATAAACCAAGTACATGACAATAAGAATATAACAATGATAAAAGAAGACAAAGGTCAATAAAATTAATTAAATTAATTAAATAAAGCAGTCATTAAGAAGCTTTTGCCTGAGTAAACACTTGAATTCCGTCACGGATGGGCTAAGTTTGAGCGCAGGCTGCAACTCATTCCAGAGAGAGGTTGCTCTATATTGAAAGGTCCTTTGGCCGCTGGCAGTGCGGAAGAGTGGTATGTTCAAAAGTTGAGAATTTCTCGTATTCCTTGTCGAGACGGCGGATCTTCCAACGAGCTTTGATGTCAAATACTCCGGAGCACAACTCGTCATGCACTCAAAAACCAGAACAGCAAAACGAAAATAAAGTTGTTGCCTGATTGGTAGCCAGCGCAAGTCTTTTAGCAAAGGAGTTATGTGATCGAATTTTTTAGCGCTGCTCAAAATACGACAAGCGAAATTCTGTACTGCTTGGAGCTTGTCCAGATTAGTTTGAGTAGTATTGCTCCAAACAGAAGAGCAATAGAATAATTTATAGTCAATCCAGTCGTGAAAATGTGACCCCATCTAGTGGCACATTCCCATTTGCCTCTTATAAGGAATCCCCCCCCCCCAGGTCACCAACCCGTTAATAAATTGAGTGTAAAAGTGGTGATAAAAGATGTGTATCAAAAACCATTTAAAACTGGAAACAGTCTACATGGCAAAGCTTTTTTTGCTGTAGTGGAACCCCGCTCTATGGACACCCACTTAATATGGACACCCATATATAAGTGACAGTTTATTTTCCCCAACATTAACCTGCTTAATACAGACATCAGTTAATACGGGCGACGGACATTTTCCTGAGTCCTGAGTCACAAACTCCCATATATTGTAAACCCTGCTTTATGGACACTGTTTATATAAGCATTGTTTATGACTGAATACTGTATCTTACTAGTGAAAATATAACAGAAACTAAGAATGACCTTGCAAAGGCTCTGTCTAATACCCAGGCCAAAAGGCTTAGTCACAAAGTAAACTTGCTAGCACTAAGTAATAAAGTTGCAGATTCCATTGTTGTGTTTCAAGAACAATACTTAAAGGGTAATTTTAGTCTGAGACTATGGTAAAATATTATTATTGTGAGTTTTCTTTAGGATGAACTTGTTAAAGTTACAGTTAAGAAATCAAACAACATTTTCTAAAAAAAAAAACTGCTTTAGTCTTCGTACTGATAAGAACTAGGTCTGTTACGTCTTTTCTGAGAGCCCCTTATTATCTTGTATTATATAGACACCCCGATAATATGGACACTATGGCATGTCCCTTTCATGTCCTTATTATCCAGGTTCCACTGTATTTTGAAAGTTAAACTTACAGCAATCTTTTTTTTGTTGTTGTTAGCTTACTAAAAGTATTCACATTTTCTTCCAAGGAACTGGGTTTATCAGCACTGTTTGTTTTGGTGATGTTATGGTATCTACCAAGGCACCGTACACTTCCAAAAAACAAGCAGAACAAGCTGCTGCTCGTGAAGCCCTGTTGGTAATTGGTGTTTCAAATCCAGAGGAAGTCTTTGTTAACAAGGGAACAAAGAAGAACAAGTTGAAAAGAAAGTTTGCACCCATGGTTGGGCAACAGAGAACATCATGGGTTCATTTCCGTGGAATACAAGCAGGAGGATGGCAATCTAGTGATTGGTAAGGTTAAATAATAATATCCTAAGTCTCTTCTAGTTTGTTTCACATTAATTGATGATACAGTATAATAATAACCAATAAATTATGTTTGTGTAATCAAATGATGACAAGTGAATATTTCAAGTGTGTTTTGTCCAAATTCCAATTATAAACACAAGTGAAATTATTCTCTAATTTCATCAACACACCATCAATTTTGATTAACTATTAATATCATGGGTGGCAAATTACACTCACGATCATGGGTTTGTGCTTTGTTTCTCATATCTAGAACTCCATGCACAGTCTGAAATGTCATCCATCTCTTCGTCCCACCTCCTCTCCTAATGGGCGGCCAGGGGAGAGAGACTTGCCGCTTGGAGGTTAGGGTTAGGTTGGGGGATGGGGCATTGTTTGAGACTCAATGTATTGAAAAGTTTAGAGCATAAATTTTTGCTTAAGTTCTCAATTTGTTGATTTTTTTTAACAAAATACCTGTTAGAATCCTTCTCGATATGCATTTCGATGTGTTTGGTTTCTGAAGCGTCTTTAATACAATGACATCTTCATTCATAACATTTCTTTTTTACACGATGTTATCATGACCAGGTGAAATTTCGCACCAAAAGTAAGGAGTTATCTATCACCCATGATAATTTTATTTGAAATTCCATGAATCTCAACAATGATAATAGGCCCTTTGCAGCTAGCCATTCTCGTGCTACAAAACCATTTGGCTGGAGAGCAAAAGTCGCACTGGGACAAGACAAACAAAAGTTATACATAATTTTAGATAGTAATTTCCTTTGTTTGTCTTGTCCTAGTGTGGCTTTTGCTCTCCAGCATGGTGGTTTTGTACCACGTAAATGGCTAGCTACAAAGGGCCTATTGATTTAAGTTGTTGCTTTTCTTGGACTAGACTCTAGAAAACTAAGTCACGTGAGTACTTGAGTGAAATTTAAAGTAAAACCCAGTGGGTGTTTGCCTTTTTTCTTACATTACATGAATAACAAGACACTCCATGTGCTATGAAAAGGGTGCTTTTAACTCCAATAATATTATTCTTTCATGTATGTTTTGCAAAATACACTTAAGTAAACTCTGTTTGTAATGATGGTGTAAAAAAAGAAAACAAATCAAATTCATGATTTTTGTACTTTGCTATGGAATCTGCAACAAGTTCAAGTGTAATTTCAAGGCTTTTTGCTTGTGATCCAACATCAGGGGAGATGCTGATTTCTTTTGGGAACAAGCAATTGCAAATAAAAGGCAGAAGTTGGATCCAAATGAATCACTTTTTGGCAGGAGTAGAACAACATTTGCCCTTCCATTACAACACAGACGAGACTTATCAGTTGGTGAAATCTGGAAGGAGAAGAAAAATGTGGTTATTGTTGGGGATGCAGAATCATCTTTTATTCTGTACTGTACAAGAGTTCCAGGAACTTGTAAGATTTTCAACACGCGGACAATGTCACTGGTTGAGCTTGAACCTGGTATTACAAGGCGTTAAGTGTTTATTTATACTCGTAAATAAGGATAATGGAGGCAATGAATGAGGTGTCAAAAGTAAACATCCAAATGTAAAATTTGGGCAAAGTTCGATTTTTTATGTTTATGCACAACCTTTATTACATTGCTTCTGTTTAATGCAAGTTTAAGCATATAACATTTATGCAAGTTCAGTGGAAATCCAGTTTTAGATATAGAATTACAGTCTCCATGTACCATTACATCTTTCACCCAGTGCACTGTGAAGTAGTTAGTAAAAACAACAAATGGGCGCTAGGAGGGCGCGCAAGGGGTGTTGCAGTGGTGAAAGCAAAGTGAATTCCAGTGATATTCCTTGTCAATACTCTTCTACATGTATTAATTATTTCTCCTGGATTCGCAATAAAGAAAACTGTTGATATTTACATGTTTTTTTTGGTCATAATTCATGTAGGTTTTCGAATTGTTGGTCTTGATGCCCAGTATTCTGATTTTAAGGGTAAGGTGGCCCTTGAAGCAGAGAGGTGTGCGAATGTTGTTATTCCTGAAACACCAGATCCTGTGCTTACAAGCTGCGGTGTTGTACTTCTTTATCAAGATCCACAGTCCAGGTATACTACTTAATGTATGTACTGTACAACATTAGTAACATGGGTACTTATAGTGGTTATGATAATCACAAGTAAAATCAAAAGAATACAAGAGTATATATGAGTTCTCTTTAATATTGTTTAAATAACTTGACATGACACTGATCTGTTTGCTTCCCAGATGAGAGTGTATGCAAATTTGAACCTTCTTTTTTAATAATAATTATAAAAAATATTGTTTTCTTTGCTAACAGTGATTCAAATTTATTATTATTCACCTTTTAAGTCTGCTTCAGGTACTTCTTAAAAGATACCTTTCCAGCCAGGCATTCGTCAATGTTGCAGCCGCTTTGGCTCAATATTTTCGCCGTAAGATCTCTGGTCGACCAGTGACGCTTGACGTTCCAAGCCTTACAGAACACATAAGGGACTGGATGCTGGAAGAAGTACAGAACATTGCAACCATGAATGAAGAAGCTCTCCAGCATGTGTTTTCCTACATGTGGAAGTTCAACAAAAGATGGATTTCCTTTCTTAATCCTCCTCTTCCACATGATCTTGAATTTCTTAAGGTGAGTAAAATTAAATCACAGCTCTTCAACTAAGGGTCCACCCTTGTGGTTGCTTACGGGAAGTGGTTATCCACAGAAAAAGCAAGAAGATAGGCTCAAACTGAACTGATGAACAAGCTAAAACTTAGGCAAACAGACAGCTGTGCACTGGCAATAATATTTCAGATTTTTTACTTAACATTTTGCATCAATGTTCGATCCCCTTTTTTTCCTACAGATCGTATTACAGCCATCTTTTTTGTAGGTTGGCTGCTATAACCTCTAAGCATGCTTGGTCAATGCTTGGTCAATGCTTTTAGAACTTTTGTGACATGCGAGCAATGGTTCTCTTACAATCGTAAGTGATCGTGCTGGGTGGTCACTTGGGGGAAGCAGAAAACAAAAGAATATGTCAAATTTTTGGTTTGAAAAGTGCTCACGGTCGTTTAAGAAACTTAATTTCTGAGGAGAGTTTTAGACTGCTCACAGTCCTCTATTTTTCTGTAAGATCATCGAGATTGAGCGTTTTGTGTTACGGGCTGCCATCTTGCATGAGTGTCAAAACTACTTAGGGGGCAGGGGCAGTTTGGAAGGAAGCAAGAAAAATAGAGGGACTGTATTAAATAACATCACTGCAGCTCGCATTCAGGAGGTGTGACAGGAATTTCACGCCTTTCACCAATTATTAATTAAGAAACTCTGCTGGTGATGAAAAACATGCCAGACACATTTAGCATCTATTATGCGTGTTTACAAATATCTCCTTGCGAAACAGTGATTTTATAATATTTCTGGGCCATTCCTCGAAATCAAATCAGCAAACATGCTCAAGAAAACATTTTCCTAATCAATACCAAAAATCCTTCATGTGTTTGCGCAAGATGTGCCTTATGGTATGAAAGCGTACTTTTTATGGAAACGTCGACTTGTCAACGACTTGTCAATGTCGGCAACTTAGATTAAACCCGTTGTCAACGCAAATTAACATCTATTGTCTAATGACCAATCAAACGCCTGCGTTGCTGGTACAACGTGCTCCGTGAACGCGAGCCACAGTGATGTTATTACAGTCCCTCTATTTTTCTTGCCCCTCCTCCCCCCAGAGCTATAAACGCCGATGCCCGCCCCCTCGGTACATTTGAAAATCAAGATACCCGTGACGGTAAGAAGCGGTATATCTAAACCATATCACAAAAACATAGGGGACTGTGAACAGTCTAGGAGAGCTTTTAAACAGTATTTGATTGTCAAACAAACGTGGAGGAGGTGGTCACTTTTTGCTGATGACCAAAATAAGCTTTTCCAAAACTGATAGATGGTTTTAGCACATTCACATCCACTTTATGATTCCTGGACATTTCTCGTGGATCTTTTAAGTGGAAACATTGCCTATTTAGAAAATTATAATAAAAAAATAATAATAAATATTACCTTTTCATGCAGTGATATAAAATATCCTGACTAAGGATTTCTTTTAAGGCAAGTGCAGCGGATGAACTTGCCCGGCGACAAGCCAGTGAAGTGCATCACTCTGAAGATTTTTATCATCCATGGGGCCCTCCAAAGGGCAACTTTAAACACAGAATGATCTCAACAGGTAAACATGCGCAGCATCGGGAAAAACGGATTTGGTCTTGACTATTAGGTAGTAAGTGAATGCTTTAAGATGGAATCCACCAGGAAATTGAGTGATTCTAATTTTCACTGGAAAAAAACTTGTACCAGAATAATTTAAAGAATATTGCAATTTCTTTTACATTTTTCAAGGGCTATAGATGTAATTAGTTATCGTAATAAGACTAAAGAAAATTTCTTATGGGAGCCCGAGAAAGTAAATGTCAAATTTCAAAAGAATTGTGAAAACACAGGTAAAATTCTGAAAATTTCATGTGTAAGATGTCATTTCATGAAATTTGACATTTATTTTCTTGGGCTCCCTTAAGAATTTTTCTTTGGTGTTATCACACTCAGATAAGTAATTATTATTATATCTTTAGCCCTTGAAAAATGAAAAAAAAGAATGCAGTATGCTTTTAATCATTCTTGACAGTGGTACAAGGTTTTTGTCCACTGAAAATTAAAATTACTCAATTTCCTGATGGATTACGTCCTAACATGATTTAAAGGCAGTGGTAAATGAAAAACACATAACCTTCAGCCTGAAATGACCATTGATAAGCTACTATAGACGCAAGTGAAGTGAAGATTCTTGTTTCAAATTGCCTTGTGTGAATATTTACTTTGAGATGAAGGATCACTGTAAAGCCTTTTTCCTCAAACCTTGTCAATTGTCAGCATTACATCTAATAATTGTCTTGTATTGAAAAGTAATGTAGATGTAAGGCTTTAACAGTATAACTTACATAGTTTTTGTGTTAATGAAGCCAAGCTGCGGAACGATTGGCCCTAAAAGGAAAAGGTATTCATACTAAATTAATCCCTTTATGTCTATAGGTCTGTTCATTGAACCAGCTGCTGATTGTGCAGTCAGGGAGCTGAAAGAAGAGACTGGCATTAAACTTGATGCAGATGAAGTTAAAAATTCCCCTCAAGTTGACTTGCTGCAGACTGATAATTTTAACCCTCACAAAGGTAATAGAAAATGATTAATAATTTTGCCATCAATCAACGTATAACTGTAATGAGGTAAAAACAATGTCATCTTTAACTCTGTCTCTTTTATTAATTATAATAGTGTCCTAGATACCCATCATTTACTAGTTCTTGACACAAAATACCGGTATCAGCACTGCATGAGAGACTTACTCTAGCAATACACTATACACTACATTTATGCACAGGGCTCCCACACTCCTTGCAAGTCCTTGAATTTTAAAATAAATTATTATTCATAGCCTTGAAATTCGTTGAAAATTGCAGTCAGTGCTGAAAAGTCTTTGAATTTCAATGCTAAGGAGAACTGCTGCAAAGGAAAAAGAGCAAGCACAGGAAGACCTTCGGGATAAAATTGCTCATGCATGTTTTGAAAGAACTGAAATAGACAGACTCCAGGCTCTTTTTTTGAATTATAGGAAATGTTTCCTTGAAAGTCCTTGAAAAGTCCTTGAATTTTTTGTTCAAAAACGGGTATGAACACTGTCTGAAGCTCAAAAACAAATAAAAAGGGATATTGGTCACTTACTGTTCATTTCAAAGGTGTCCACATCCTAAACGACTGAAAATCTACATGGGGTCAACCAAATCTGAATGAATAATGGTGGCTTTTACCCAACCTTTATGATTTCTCAACTTCCATCAGGTGACATGGTCAAGTATTTTCTGTATGTGTACAGACCACACAACATTGAAGATGACTTGAACAACTCACAAGACATGGATCAGTTGGATAGTTCTAACAATTGTGAAGCAGAAAATAGCTTAACAGCTGAAGGTTGGTATTAAAGTTGAAGATAAAAGTGCACATTTTCAAGTGAGCTGGCCAATCAAGTTTTCCGTGGCAAGTCGTGTCTGACCAAAAAAGGCAAAATGTATCACACGTAACCCAGAGGGCATTGTGTGTCCCATTCCCCTTCAATGAGGACAATCATTTGAGTTTAGAGGGGAGGGGGCTGGTTGTTTCAGGTATGGGTGCCATCAGTTCCACCACATGAATAAAACAAGTGAAAAAGCAAGTTACCCTTTGGAAACAAGAAAATATAGGTACTACTTTTAACTGGGATATTGCCACATATATGTACCCCCTCCCCCTAATCCCTCTGCCCCCAACAATATAATGACAGCATATAACGTGACTTCAAGATTTGATCAACTGAAAATTCAGAAACATGATTATTATATTATTGATATTTGAAAAACTGCAATATATATTAAGCCCAATATGTTGAGTTCATCTTTACCCCATAAATGGGACATAGAATGGTCATAATTATTTTCATTTAAATTTGTATTTCTGCAGTTCACATCATCTTCATTCCATGTTTCATTCCATTCACGGGTTAAGATAAACTCAGCAAGTTAGTTCAGTCGGTAGAGCACTGCACCACTAACACAGAGGCCATTGTAGGGTTCGAATCCCGTTGAAGTCCCAAAATTTTTTTCTGGTAAATTGCAATAATTATTATTGCATTTTTTTGCAATACCACTGTTGACAATCATATCTTCATTTAATTTTTTTTTTCTGCAGTTTGCATCATCTTCATTCTATACTGTAATATAGCTGCAGTAATTTCTATTTCTTTAATAAAATCTTGCAAGGCGAATTAAGTTTTAGTTTTTTTTGTCTGATATTACATTTAAATCTCTTCTAACTATCCATCAGGTAAATTTCTTTTTGTTTAACGGGGCAGCAGTCCAATGTGGTGCCACAGTATGGGGCTCTTGTTTCAATGCTGATGACACATCATTATTTTCCTGTATTTCCTCAGTGGTGGATTTTGATGGATCCACTAAGCAAAACACAGATGGCAAAAACATTGATGATGGAAAAGATGAGCCAGAGAGAGGTGAGCCCCCTGCCGGAGAACAGTTGAAAGAAGAGACCTTGATTACAGATGAAAACTTTCAAGGTTCCATGGCTGTTGATGAGGAAAAAGCCAGTAATTTGGGGAAGGTGCAGGTATCCAGGGGCCCTGATGAAATATCGGGAGCCTCTTTCTCAGTGGAGAGACGTGGTGTTAAACGAAAAAGGGACCCTGATGATGATAACTATGGTGACAACGAAATGGAGAGTGGCCATCAGGTGCAAGGTAGCAACTTCAGCAATTCAATGTAAAAAATAATAAGCTTAATGTCATGAAAAACTAGCCTGTTCACAGACCCTCTATTTTCTCTTTGAGATCGTCAATTATGCGTATGGAAAAGAAAGCAGGGGAATCAAATTGTCAAAAAATGTATATATATCTGTGGACCAGCTATCGGAACAACAAAATTAAGCATTACATTCTCATGAATAAGTACAGCAGCTTGCATTGTGGTCAAGTCCACCATGCAGCAATATTATTGTAATAAGTATTGTACTTACTTTTATGGATGAAAACTAACCAAAAATATAACACAGAAGAAAACTTAAGGCCGGTGAGTACATAAACATATTAAATCATAGATCGAGCTAAAGGAATATTTTGTTAAGAAACTTTTCCTGGCAAATGACCGTAATAATTTTTTGCATTATTATGATCCAATACCTTTCACTACATACCACTTTTCTCTTTTTTTTTTTTATTTTAAATTTCAATTTACTGTCTATTACGATTATAAAATAAAATACAGTAAACAAATTCAGCATTATTATTAAGATGAAGGTATTTTATCGATTTGGAAAACCTTTTTATACTGGTACAACATTCATAAAGATCAAGTTGAGGGATTCTAGAAGGCTGCTAACACTGTGTACTGTACCCAGCTAGTTTAATAATCATATTCAAGAACCTCATCACCAGTATGAACTTTATAGGTAACCTGCTACTGGAGATAAAACCCCCCCTCAACCTTATGAAGCCAATAGTAATCTGAGTCCTGACTTCAGTGAGTTAGTGCCATTTATCAAACTGACACTGATTCCATGTTAACCCTTTAAGCCCTACAATACAAGAGTGATCAGTATCAAAATTCTCCTTGTGATATCAATGCTTTAGAAAACAGATTGGTGATGAGAGTTAAGAACATGATCACACAAATAAGAAGTAGTTGGCATAATACTTCAATAACTTCTCACTACTACTTTTATGGAAACCTATGGGGACAGCAAATGGGAATTTAAATTTTGATATTAGGGCTTAAAGGGTTGAGGATGCTTTAAAACTGTAGAATAAAATATACTATTATTGTAATTTTTTTTAATGATGGAAGTAAATGCCTGTTTTTTTTTTCGTTAATTTGACTTCTCTGCCAGGACAGTCCACAACACCAACGAAAGGTGAATGCTTACTTGTCCCAGTGACTGCAGACACACCCACATCTGCTTGTACACAAGAAGTAATCACTGCAGCAAGGTCACCACATGTTCAGAGCAGTGTGCATGAGGAATGTGCATGGTTTACTTTACAGGAGGCAAGAATTAAGTCTCCAGTGTTTGAACAGATATCCCAAACAGAACAATTCAAGAAACTTCTTAATTCCATAACCAGCCCAGAAGAGAGGTAGCAGTTGTATAAAAATTATTTTTAATTAGTTAATTTACCAGTTAGCTTGGGCTAATTCAAGGCCAATATTATATTTTTCAATTATTATTTTGTTAATTCATCATGTTTTAGAATTAATTTGCACATGCCTTAATCAGCAAAAACAGTATTGCTTGGTTTTATCAAGAAAATAATTTATTGTCCAACAACAGGACTAAAAATTGGGGAAGAGTCATTTGATTTTTCTCGGACTACACCAGAATTACACTGTCTAATAAGTTACAATAAGTGAAAGGAGAACAACATTTTTATGTAAAATGTTGAAAAATGCAAATTTCTTCCTGAAGAGATTCCATTTAAATGGTTGTACAGTGCACGTGTACCATGTGATTTATTCCACAGTCTTAAAAGTCAGGACTGCATGCACTTGTCCACATAATCACCTCTTCGAGTACAAGGTCGAGTCATCACGTAGTTTCAGACCCATAGTATGTATTCTTTATATTGTACTGGTTTAAGCAATGAGAGTGATTAGCGTCAAATTTCTCCCTGTAATATCAATGTGTCCTAAAACAGAGTGGTCATGAGAATTACTGTGAAATATAAGGATGCACATGATCATACAAGATGAACTTCTTCCCACTACACTGTACTTCAATAGGAAATGTATCAAAAGCAAAACAAGGGAATTTAAATTGTTATATTTGGGTTCATAGAGTTTATGCTTTGGTAAATTATTTTGGAAGTTTCTTGTCAGGTAGGATGGAGCAATACCATTATTATGTAGATGGAGTTAGTTATTGTTAATCTTCTCTGCTTCGAGAGGTCTTTCTACAGGTGCTCCCGTTTTCCCCTCTCCTGAAAAACTAAATACTAATTCATTGTGGAAAGCATCTCCAATTAATGATACTGGAAGTCTATCAGTTCTCAGATCTGTTAAGTGTACACTTAGCTGTATCCCTCTTTCTTCTTCATCTTCTTCTTCTTCTTTTTTTCTACTATTGTCTCAGCAAAAATTGTTTTCTGGCTGTGGACATGGCCAGGTTGTATCAGGGGACTACAATTCTTGGACAAAACAGGTGGAAAAATAAAATCCCCCTCCCCACCCCCAATCAAGGATAGAAAAAACATGGTGCATTTTTCTTCTTTTTCTTCGTTTTTCTACTATTGTCTCAGCAAGAATTGCTTTGCAGCTGTGGACCTGGCCAGGTATCAGGAGACTACACATCTTGGACAAAACAGGTGGAAAATTAGACCCCCCCCCCCCCCCCCCCCCGCAACGGAGGGGGCCTTCCACACAGGGGGAGGGGGGGAAGCCAGGCCCCCGGCCAACATTTAAAAAGCGGCCATTGCCTTATTGAAGAAGGGGGCAGGGTTCCTTTAGGTTTTTACGCACTGTATTGCCAATATTTTTTTTTTTTTTTTTTTTTTTCTACTATTGCCCCAGAAAAAAATTGTTTGCAGCGGTGGGCCCGGCCAGGTAACAGGGGACCAAACATCTTGGACAAAACAGGGGGAAAAATAGACCCCCCCCCCCCCCACCCCCAGTCAAGGATGAGGCCTTCTCAGACAGGGGAAGGGGGGTATGCATGTCCCTAGTCTAAATGTTAAAAGCAGTCATTTCACTTATTGAAGAGGAGGCCATGTTGCTTTCAGTATTTCACTACTGTATTTGCAATTTTCCTTGTCGCCGTTGCAGTTCCAACAAATCTTCATGTCGTTTATTGCTGTTTCCTTTGTCTTGTCACTGTTTCAAGGCCATGTTACTTGTCTGAATTTTACCCTAACAGGGCATCAAGGATAGATAAAGTGGCACATTTTGGCCTCCAAGCAGCATCATCTTTGATTACAGGGAGATTGAGGGGAGGGGGTGGGGTTTGCTCAGCCTCTTCCATTGTACTCCGCCCGAGTTTGTAGCTGTCACATTTTCCTGCTGTCTGTGGTTCAAGTACTAGTAGAAAAGGCAACCACACACAACTTTACAATGGATAATACATTTTTATTAATGTGCTAAGGATGCAGCCATGAGCACTCAAAGCCAGACAAAGTTATGGATTTTAACACATTGTTATTCATTATCAGTCTACAAATTAAATGCATACATACTAATGATGAGTAAACAGTAGGGCACACCCAGTTAAACCACTTTAAATTTTGCATAGTTATTCCTTTTGGCCAATCTGTAAGTCTATCCAGAATGTTTAAATCCTTAGTAGTTCTGAAACAAAAAAGCTTTGGAAAGTAAATTAATTCAGAAAATGTTTTTTTAAACTTGTTTCCAAGGAGGAAAACAAATATTGAACAAGTTTCTTAGTATTCATGAACTTAAATTTGGAGAGGAAAAGTCAAGATTGTTGTACACTGTATTTCACAGTGTGGACTGCCTGCAAGGAATACAGCCTATGCATTGTGTAGCAGTGGTTAAATGACTTACAACACTTGCAACACTGAATTGTTACAGTATTTTGCAGTTTTCAATATTAATTAAAAACTGCAAAATTTAATTATTTCAATAAGTTTGATTCTAACTATAATGTTACAAAACGACACTCATTGCCAGCAAATAATATTATAAGAATGCTTCCACGAGTCAAGTTTTCTTCAGTAGTAGTTTTTTGAAAAAAGTGAAGAACAGCTCTCCTGAAAAACTATCAGCCAACTGCATGCCAACAGATAGCCAACAGGCAGTTGGATGGCCAACAGAAGTTTAGGGGAGCTCCTCTTTGCTTTTAACCCTAACTTGATTGCCCAACTGTCTGATCAAATTCCCTTATGGGTACTTGACTTTACCGACAGTTTTTCCCCAGTGACAGTGTACATACATGAATGATCAGCTAATAATAACACATGATATATGGCAGTTGAAGTAATTGTCAACTGCCTTCAACCCTTTAACTCTTGAGATCTGACTAGTAATTCTCCTTTCTGGCTGCTATACATTTCTTTTACATTAGATAAAAGAATTTGGTGCTGTATCAAATGTTCCCTGCAGGGAGATACATTTATCTATTCTCATCACTTGTGTGCTGGACAATTTAATGATAATATTCTAAGGAGAAGTTACATGCCAATCACTCCTGGGAGTTAAAAGGTCAATATTTAGGGAACACTTATCCTGTAGACTATGCAAGGCAATCATCTTTCATTCACTTAACTTCAGATATTGACACAATTAGTTTTATTAAAGGATACTTAAAATTCTTATTATCTACGATTAATGATCTGCATCTACAAAAATATTACTGTCGGTGTGAATGTGGGTTTAGTATGTAATAACAAAGACAAACAATTTTTCTGAGGATGAGTCTTAAGGTAATAAAATTTTGAAAGGCTATTCTCACACATGTTAACTGTACAAGTATACGAGTATAATTTCTAAATTTGTCATGCTACTTGCTCTAAAGTATTAAAGTCAGCTCCAAATTATGGACATCCTCACATAGTCAAGTTCAGTGTTACATGTAAGGATGAGTAAAATTATTCTGTGTTATCTCTTGTCTAACTTCTCTTCTATGTTATGTTAATAGATGCCTACTATTTTCGCACATAAATCAAGTTCTTAGGCATGTATAAACATGTAATTACCTGCCGCCAAGAGTTCATTATAACAATTACAGATAATGATTATTTCAGTGCTCTTATTATAACTTCATAAAACAAGTTTCCTAAAAAATAAATAATGTAAAAGGGAAAACCAGCCCCTTACTCAATACTTGAAAACAAAAGCTATTATGTATATATATCTTTTCATAAATTAGTTAACACAGTTATCATTAACAACTAACACCACCCATTAATTAAAACAGATTTCTCAACTGTTGAATAACCTGGTCTCAAGCTCAACTCATGCACAAAGTCACTCTTTTAAAAGCCCCTTAGGGTATTTCCATACAAGTCCCTCACAGTTCAAATGTATAAAAATGTACTCACAAATGGCTTGTATCCACACATAAAATGTTGAAAATGATGATGTTTTCAAAACTGTTCAAAATGGAAATCAAATCCATTGAAATATTATATACCATATATAGTTCTTAAATGTGGACAGCAGCAAATTTTGCATTGCAGATTGTGTAATTCAAAGACTGAAACAGACTTGTGTGAAAATTAGTTTAAATACACAGTCATGTTTTATTTAACAACCAGCAAAAATGTTAGGTTGTAATCTTTTCAGCTTTTTCCTGATCTTTCTTTCAGTGCCTGTATGCATGGGTCGTCAACACAGACATTCCAGCTTAGTTTCTATACTATCCGCAGTTGTTGATTACAATATTAGAAAATTTCTAAGTACTCCTCTTAAGTGTAAAATAACTCTGTAAGGACATTTTGTTAAATAATAATAATTAATTATTATTTGGTTTTGTTTTCTTCCTTGTCTGGCTCTTTAATTGGTCTTGTATAAAAACTTGTTTAGGTTGTCGAATAAATGCCTTGATGCATTGTTAGCAACTTCACAATGCTGTGTATATACTTTTCTCTGCCTTAATTTTTTTTTTCTTTAAAAGACAAAGGAACATGTCTGCAGATATATGCAGCTATCTCTTTGTCTTGCACACAGTTATCATCTTGTTACTAAACATATTTTACATAATTTCATAACACCACTTTGGCAAATATAATATTAATAATTTCTACCATAGTAGATACCAAACTTTGACTGTACAAGGGATCAAAAGTCTAGTTTAACTAAACTAGAACCTGACATATTTTTGAACGTGACATGTCAAAGGCCACGAAAGGCCCACAATATTCTTACTCATGTGGTAAAAGAACACACACAGTATTTATATACTTCCACAATGCTTCAGCCTAGCCTACACTTCTTGATCATTTTGTGATTTAACTTGGTTTTAAAACATTAGCTGCAAATCTCAGAGTTATATACTTCATTGTAAGATCATCTACATTAGATAAAAATTTTGAAAACCTACACCTGAAATTTAAGAGATTACCAAGTTAATGTTAGAGAACTTGATGAGAAAATCTCAAGTTTAGTCAATTATGAAAGGGAAATTTCCCTTACATTCTAAAGTATGCACACCCATTATTTTTGGCTGGTATTTTTGGCGTGAAGATCAAGTTGCTTCTGTATCCACCTTTCAGGTATTTTATATATAGTTTCTCACATACACAGCAATAATTGTTGAATTGAAAGGCCCCTAGAATTATCAAATTTTTCTTTCTAATTTTTTTTTTTTTTTTTTTTGGGGGGGGGGGGGGGGGGGGGGGTTGTTGTTGGGGTTTTTTTTTTTTTTTGGGATTTTTTCCCTACCGTTTTTTTTTTTTTTCCCCCGGGGGAAACGAAGTTGGTGTTCGTGTACACATTTTCCCACCGTTGTGACTTTATCCA